TTATTATATTTTTGTCAATTTTCGATTTTTTTTTTCGAAATGAAGGCCAGTTACTATATTATCGAAGGCACAGGTTTTTAAAAATACAAAAAAAATATGATAACGCGGTTGCATATCCATTTATTTTAACTTTTTACATTTTTTCAGTGTAATATTTCCATGTCATATTCAATTTTTTCCAAGTCAAATTCAACCTTTTCCAAATCAAATTAAACTGTCTCCAAGTAAATTCAACCATTTCCATTTCAAATTAAACCTTTTCCAATTCAAATTAAACCGTTTCTATTTCAAATCGAGGTTTCGAATTTTTGTAAATTTTTGATTTTTTTTTTTAAATAAGGGGAATTCCCCCTCCCCCTAGAATATGAAGGTCTATCATGATGCTCCCCTAAGTAGAGTTTTTCAAAATACTATAGATTTTATGTTACACTTACGGATATTGATTTATTGTACCTATTCCGATTTATTAGGGTATAGTATTATGCTGTCTTGTGTCTATTTTTTTAAAAATTACCTAATTTCAAATGGAAATCGTTGAATTTGACTTGGAAAAAGTTTAATATGCTTTGGAAAAGCTTGAATTTGACTTGGAAAAGGTTGTAATTTGTGGATGTGTGTGTAATTATAAAATGTCAACGAGTTCTTATTACTCATAAAGATAATATCTAAATTAATATTCTTTAAAAATATTTATATGAGCGTTTGGCTCTGGATTAAGGATTTAAGTATCGAGAAAATATATTAATACTATATATAAGTATAGTATATATATAATATTAATATATCAAAATTACTTCGATGTTTCATTTATATCGGGTTTCGGACTATGTAAATTATTTTAAACTAAATTTAAAACATTAATTTCTATATAAATTATCACATTCAAAACTCTCATATTCTAAATTCCTACTCTCAAAACAATCTGACGCCGATTACTATATACTATTTAGCATTGCTTCATGCTAAGTTTCTGGATACTACTCCTGACTTTGAATATATATTTTGCACCACTTTGCATGCAATGATAATTTGTTTTTTTCACGAGGTATAAAACAAGAAACACATATTTTAATGTCACTTCATCCATCCGTTTTCTTATTGTTTCTCTTATATACGATTTAAGTGTTACTAATCTAAAATTAATAAATCACAATAGTCCTCATCTGATTATGCAATCGTTATATCCGTTTATATGCTGTTTCTATTCGACCTATGTTCAATTTAAACATATTTGTACATTAGTTATATCTAGCAATATATAGTTGTATATTTGTTTAGACTGAACTTTAATATACTCAGCACATATGTGCTATATATAACTTATGTTCACGTTAAACAACATAAATAAAAAAGATAGATAGATAGAGCTAAAATAGCACGCAAGAATGATTTGTTCTTCTTGCTCCTCAATCTAACAGCTGATTTTACAAAACAGCTGATATTACCTAACAGCTCTTACTCCGGTCCTTAACTTATATATATATATATATATATATATATATATATATATATATATATATATATATATATATATATATATATATATGTATATATATATATATATATATATATATATATATATATATATATATACATATATATATACATATATAGAAATTGGTATATTATTTGTAAACTATAAAACCAAAGCATTGGGTAAAATTTTATATGTATTGATGACTCTGCACCTGACCTTGCTTGATAAGAAGGGAAGAAGGTTCCCTGGATTGGCCATATTGTTACCAACCGAGGAGGGAAATCCTATGTAAGCTGTGAGACCCTTCGTGGAACTACCCAACGATTCCCAATCTCTGTCACCTGGGATTTTCTCATGGTTTTTTTTTATCAAGTTTTCCTCAATGCCCATTTACTCTCACATTCCTTATACTTGCTAAATGTTAGCCGGTGACTTTGTTCTAAACCTTATCAATATCATCTATAATTCTCAATATTTTTTTTTTTTTGTTAATCATCAACAAATTTTTTACGTGAAAAAACGGAATTATTATTTCTCTGTTTTTAGATTATCCATTCTTAATTTCGTCATTTAAACTTGTTAGAAGAATTATGTAAAAATTTGTAGCTTTGCATTGATGTACTCCCAACGTGTCATCTTCGGAAATTACTACATTTTTTCCCCGGCTCTTTCATTTGATCGATTAAGGCACAAGCAAGTAGAAAAAAAAGTCAATAGCAGGAAATTTCATGTCTATGTTGTAAAGTTAATTTATATTTATTTAAATATGTTATAAAACATTATGCTGTTTTTAGTAACCTGCAGGTTATAGACACATTTGTTGCCTAAATATTTTTTTACAGTTTGGCGATCGATAGGTTATATGGCAGAAAATAACTAACATTGTTTCGGTTTCTGAAGGAATGGTTTTTAACTGAAAAATGTCTCAATGCCATTCTTCACAGACAAACGATTTTCCTTGTACATAACCTTTTTTGTTAGGCACGATTCTCTTTTTCTTGAAGTGTTCACTGGACATTCACATATTTTAGAATCATATTACTTTGATTGTTGCTGTCTGGTTCATTGTAATAAATTTCGCCGGATTTCCTTATTTCGATCATAGACACCTCATGACATGACTAAGTATGCACATTAGACGTGGCCAAGTATTTCAAATGACACTTATTAAAATACGAAAAAGATATTTATATTTTCTTCTCAAGATAATAAAAAAATAAAATAAAAAAATCCACCGAATCAAGCCAATGTCATTGTTTAAAATACTTTTTCATGGCACTTGTGTAAATGAAGAAGTGAAATATAAAAATATTTAATGAATATGTTTATAACCTTAAATAAATTGACTGTAGTTTAATAATTCTAGATATGGTATTATATTTTAATAATTAGGTATTTATTGGCCGTTTATTCCAAAAAATCATCAAGTAACCTTTAAAAAAATTAAATTAGTGAATGATTTGATGAATTTTCCCTTTGTGATGTCACAACATTATTCACTTTTAATTTGTGTGACAACTTTTGACTCATTTATAGGTTAAATATTCAGGTATACTTTCTAATCTCTCTAGACATATATGAGCCTTTTGTATGATAGAATGGCTCACTCCAATTTCTACACTCTTTATTATTAATTTTGGTGATGCTTCCAGTGGAAGAATTTATACCTTTATTCACAGTTCTATATTTTAACACTGCAATCACCTACTCTGGAATCAACTAACTCACTTCTGTATAGATATAACTTTTCCAATTAGAAATATCACTAAAATAACGTTATTAAAAAATGATGAAATTTTAGTTAGTCATTCTGTCAACTGAAAGGTTAAGTGAAGTTGTGTGATTTATAAAAGCAGTCGGAGTTCCTAGATTTGTACTGCCTACCATCGATATAATAAGTAGAGCTTTTGTAATTTTGATGGTCTTAATGATTTAATATATGTAAGCTTTTTAGCTCCGTTTAAAATGCACTTAAAATATTTTCTATTCGAAGTAGAGCGGTAAATGAAAATTGTGTATTGCGTTCAATAGCTTTTGTGTTTTGTAATTGAAATGCAAAATGCTTACTTCGGTATTTTTTAGTTGAAGTATTTTTACTGAAAACAATTTATATATTGTCATACATAAAAAAATACTTTGAAGTTAAAACATGCTGTATTTTAAAAACACAAAACACATGGAATTTAGAATATCGTATTTTACATTAATAATTAAAATACTTCGTTCCCAGTTCTATTTATGTTCTATTTATAACCATGTACAATTACTGCGTATTGTTTTTTTCTCTTTTCAATCCATTCAACTCGGATAACGCGAGGAATGTTATTAAAATAAAAATAATAATTTAATAGGAACATTTTGCACGATCAGATTAATTTAAACAGAATTAAGCTTCAGATAGCTACACACCTTACATACCTGCATGGATTTTAACCTCCTTTTCTGGCTCAAAACATTTTTTCCTCACTCCAGTATAATTAGACGTATTTTTTACTTCCTTTCCGTCTGACATTATAAAATTATTATTTTTTGGCCTCTTCATCAAATAAAAGAATACGTCACACCAAACCAAAACTATTCCTTGAAGATCAATGCTGCATCTGTTGCAGAAGAAGTTATTAACAATTACTGTAGCTAATTAATTAAATTAATTTAATTTAATTTAATTATAAGTCTTCCTGGAAACAATGATTCATGTAAACTTCTTTATCATTATTCAGTTTGCTGATATATGCCAGTTTTTGTAGTGTTTTGATTTAGTTGTTTGAAAGTCAATTTTCGTTCTGTTTTATTGAGTTTTTTTTCTTTTTTCATCAATTTTTCAGAGCCCTAAAAATAAATTAATCTAAAAAATTAGGGATAAACATTACGCAATAATTATAAGTAATAAGCATAAGAAGTGGAGGAAGATGGTAAGGAAGGCTCAGGTTCTTGCAGGAACATAGCACCACCATAAATAAATAAACATAAGTAATAAGCAATAAACAATAATATTAAATAAGGTTAAACCATCTGATGGATCGAGTCAAGTTTGAAAAGAACCATTTAAATCTGTTATCTGACCCATCGGATTCATTGGTTGTTTTTAAATGTGAATATATACTTAAATCGATTCCAAATAAATCGATTAGGGTTCACTTCGGATGTACGATTCAAAATACACATACAATAGATAAATATCATTAACGAAATAAAATAAAATTATATTTCGATAAAATAAATTATATTATGTATTTATATAAAACAAATAAAGTCATGTTTTGATATCGGATTCCTCTTCTTTTTGAAGGTATGTTGTAGTTTTATTTTTCTCATTAAAGCTGTTTCAAAATATTATCGCTGATATTATGGACATGTAAAAATTAGTAAAATGTTAAATAAATAATTCTAACGTGCCGTTTTGTTATTTTTATATATATGTTTTTAGTATTTAATATGGAGTTTTCAAATATATACATAATTATAATATACCTGTTTTTAAAAACTACTGGTAAGGAAATGTATATCTGAAAATTGTATTTACATAGTTTTGGCGACTGATATAAAAGATAAGGGCCGAAATAGATAGTGGGGGATAGTGCCATACCACATTCCAACGAATTCGCTTCTCGGTCTATGTGCTTAGATGTGTCTCTCTACACTCTAGTCTCATTTCATATGTAATATATTTGAAAAGAAATAATTCTAAAAACTATAGATAACAAAGCCTATAATCCATAAAAATCCTAATGATTTGAAAATTATCATTCTCTTTAGCATTTGTGATCGTGGCAGTTTTAAAATATGCTACCACAAATAATCTTGTTCACCGCTTTATCTTTGGTCACATGTCCCTTGGTTGACGGTGCTCCTGATTTTGTCAACGACTCACCTAGTGATGATCTCTTAAAAGATGAAATTGTTTTAATGTCTCCACGAAGGCGTCAATGTAAGAAGTTTTATTTAAATCTTTTATGATATGTAGCAAGTTTAAGTGATATTTTGTAGCTACTGCCCACGGCACCGACCGCCATCAGTTAATGCCTGTGTATTTCACTCTCAGTGTCAGCCAACCCCTAAATTATTTATATAAATTAATATATTTTTAAATTAAAGCTTAAATTTATTGATTTTCGTATGCATTGAATAGGTAGAAATATACACATATGAGGCGGTGTACAGTGGTCTGAAAGCGGCAAAAACTATTTTCAAAGTGTTAGGATAATTCAAATTTCTGTGTTTTTTAAGGCATGACATAGTTAACTTACTGACATATTCCTAAAGTTTAGACATGAATAAAAACATCAGTTTCCAAGATTTTCAACGAAATATAAATAAAAAGCCTGTTTCTACCACATCAATGATGCAACTTGTTTTAAATCATTAATTATATTTTAGGCGTTTTGCTGAATCCTCAAAATATTTTTTGTTCTGTAATTTGTTGAAGCGAGTCAAATAAGTTATTTCATAATAAATTTAAAAAAAAAAATCTTTCTTTCAATCTTATATTATAATTTCTTTTTCCATCGGAAAGTATCCCACGACAACGACCGCCAAGTTCTTACTGCAATCGAAATGTTCTTTGAACCCTCTGCTAACGATGAATAAAATAATCAGTCGTGATAACTTGTGGTTTTGGCAATCATCTGGTAAATTCAGTCAAGATAGCTTCCTACTTGTGTCTAAATAGTTTATTTATTTCCGTCATAGAAAACAGCAAGAGAAGCGCAAAGAAAATGCGGAAAGGGAAAGATTAAAGAAAAATTGATACAGTTGTATTGTTTTTAGCTCACTACAATATATTAGTTTTTATCTTCATTTAGTCGTAGGTTGATTCGCTGTCATTCTCTTATCACGATGTCCTCTTGATAGCAATATAGGTAAAAGATTATAAAATTGATTCAATCAATAACCGTATAAAATAAATATTAATTTTTACAAACATATTTTATAAAAAATACATTTTATTTATTATTTAAATAATTAACAATATTAATAACGCTTGGTATTAATAAGATGGTTTTATTGTATATTAATTCAGAATGCAGTTCATGCTATAAATAAACTCATTTTTTCAAATATCTTGCCTAATTTTTTATGCATTTTCCGACCACTGTGCGGTGTTTTATTTTTAGTTACTTAATACACGTCTAGATATTTTAAGATAAATAATAGGCCTAGGTTTTGTCTGTGGTTTAAATGTTGATAATTTATCTGTAAACTATTATAGTTCGCGGTATAGAAACCTATTTATCAAAGTACTGACATCCGTCTAAATCTTCGAGAAGGGTTACATCATATCATAAGCTAATACTTTATTATTCACGGGAATTCTCTGAAATAATGCGTTTTCAATCTGAAGATCGATAAACTTTGACTATCTTATTATTTTTTTATTTATTTAGAAATATAACAATCTCTCACCTGGACAATAATTATAGTGATATATGAACAGATGAATAACATATATACAGAAAATATAAAATTAACAAAAGTAAAATAATAATAAAAAATTATGTACAATAAAAAATAAAATAACCTAAAGATAAGTAAATTAAAAACACAGTCATACCTATATACAATACATACAATCAGGCAGGGGACCACAAGCTAGGCTACTTCTCCCAACTGGAGAACGAAAAACAGGAATTCAAAAGATCCCCGCGCTAGACTCTCAACCGCGTCAATGGTAATAAAGCCGGTGGAGTTTGAGCGAGAGCGCTTTAGCCAAATACACTCATGTCTTGAGTGGAGAATCTGGCCATTGCCAGAACTCCAAAATATATACCACAAAAGATCTCTGGGCTACTGCCGCTTCAACCTTCGAGGAGGATTGTAGGGATGAGAGGAACTAGATAGGGATTGTGCTAGAGGATTCGGATGATTTATAAGGTTCTGATGGAATTTGGAAACGTTTTCAGGGATATGGTCAAGGACAAATGAGATATTAAAGTCATGATGTAGGGGTTTGTTGGTTACATTGAACACAGCATCGACTATTGTTCGGAGGACTTTGGACTAAAAGGATTGGATGTGTCTGATGTTAGAAAATTTTGCTGTCCCCCAAAGTTCAAGTCCGACTTTTCTAATCAGTAGTCTGTATAATTGGCCGTATCGTCGGTTAACTTCTTGTCTTTTAAGTCTAGTATGTGGGTTCCACGGTAGTCTTCGGTCTAAGATAAAGCCAAAATAACGGACTGTGTATGAAAAAGGAAGCTGGATCTAGGACTACCTAATAAAGTAATAAAAACTCAACGAACACCCGTTTGCTTTCCACTTCAATTATAATATAATTGGATCACAAAATCGAAAAAGAGACTACTTACAAAAAAATTCAACATGCCAAAATAACAAGATTACATTGGTTAAACGGCTAAATGTTCTTGTGGGCCAATTTTTTTCTTGATTTTATGATCAAATTATCTTACGATTCAAGTGGAAAGCAAATGGATATTCATGGATATTTAGAATCTCATTAAGTTAACTATTTTAATTAAAAAACGACCCATTTTTAATAATTTTCATATATAAAAGGTGTAAGTTGTGATAAGGTGAATTTATAGACGTATTTTAATACGTTCTGTTCCGTGTACATTTAAGTTGTCCGGAAAATATTGGAGGATTTCATGTTTTATTTATCTTAACCTTCTATATAGCAAATTATTAAAGCTTGATTTAAGGTTAAATGTAACACTTATTTATTCTCATCAAACAAAACGTTTTTTTATAAAAAGAAAAAAGTAATTAATAAGATATCCAAGCATGCTTTTCGCATAATTTCGTTTTACGATTTTAAACTCGGTCGGAACGAGCCCAAAGGAATAGAAATGTTAATGAAATCTGGAGTGATGGCCGTGTAAGTGAGTTCACCATTTAACAATGGTTTAAAAAAATTCAAAAGGTAGACTTCAGCCTTGAAGAAAGAAAGTACTTCCCTTGATGTTCTACGAGCTTCGGTAGAAGCACATCCCAGTGCAACTGTTTAAGAAATTGCAGAGAATCACCAAATCGACCATCGCTGACCACCCCTACACAATGGGATACGTAAAAAATCTTGCAACTTGGGTTTCCTGTGCATTAAAAACGCACCAAAAGAATATACGTTGTGTAGTTGATGGTGCTGCACTTCTTTGTCAAAATATAATAAATAATAACCGCATTTACCCAACAGATTACCCATAAATTCATAACTATTCTTAATTAATTCCTACGGTTCCGTGATTCAATTAAAAAAAAAACAGATAGCTTCTTGTAATATCCATTGTTTCCTCCCATTTTGACTACGGTTGCTTGGTCTATGGAAGGCTCATGAGGGAAGAGATTCATGAATTGCTTCATAAGATTCATCTTTGGGATTCTCAGGCTTTCCCATGTTTTCCTGTTTACACACCAATTTACTTACACATACACTGGCTCTATCCTGCTTCCCGACCTCGGTTCCTTCATTGTATTCTTCTTTTCCTCCTCCTCTCCTCCTTTATTTAATTCCTCAGAACCAAAAATTCTTCCTACATTCTAGAAATCCTTACTCTATCCCCTCTCACCAAACTACTTAATTCAACAAATTCTTCGTCATTCATGCTACCTCCTTTTGGAACTCCTAACCTATCTCCACACGTCAAATCACGTCAACGAATATCTTCAAACAACTCCCATCCATCACCTACTACACATTCAAACTTCCACAAGCTTGTAAGCATTTTTAGGTTATATAATTATAGTTGCTCACAAACCGTTAACTAATATGAGCCATTTTATTTTCATATTTTTTTGTTTGTGTATTTTATGTTATATTTACTCGCCAGACTGATTTATATATATTTTTAACTTTGCTGTTATTCTAAGGGGACTTTCGTACCAGAATAAAGTTATTTTTATTTCACTTGAAACGAACCTCATCTACCTACCCATTTTTTTAGACTGCCACTTGTTAAAAGATAAAAAACTATTGAATGGAAATGTTAGAAAATTCAATTTCAGAGTTTAGTAATCATAAAGATCCAACATTCTATTAAGAGTAAATGCAATAGTTAACAACGCGTTTGTTTAATACAAATTTATTCGTATAATTAATTTTATTTTGAAAGCATAAATCTGTATTCATTTCCGGAAGACCAAATAAATAATACTCTTCACCTTCTACTTACTCCTGGTTTCTTGTAATAATAAACAATATGAGACTGATGTTTGTAAGAATATGATAAAATATTATTTTGAGACTTGTAAGAAAGTATATCTCAGATTTAAAATTTATTACTTATTATCAGTAAGATCAAACCAGTTATAAATATTTCAAATTTAAAAAAAAAATCACAATAGATAATGTTTTATCATTAGGTGATTAGTAAATCCCAAATTCGATGTTAAAAAAAAAATTGATCTCTCAATGCTAATAGGATTTGAGTATTTATTTGTGATTATTTATTTAATTTATTTAATATTAGTAGGATTTAAGAATACTATTAATAAGATAAGAATAAGATTATTTTAAGTAGGCCAGAAATGTAATAATGTAAAAATGCCCGTGTTAGTTCAATACTAAATGCAGTTTAGTTTAAAGTTGATATATTTTTAATGTAACAGCTTCATTTGTTCTGGTGCGTGGGGTATGAAACAGAACGTATATGACGTCATACTAGGAGCTGTTCCTTGTCTTGGATTTCAAGTTAGACGTTTGTCCTAGTAGAGTCCAAGATATCGGACTTGTTCAACAGGGAGAAGTTGGGTATTATTTAAGGATATTGTAGGACAGGAGGTCATAGGTTTACGTCGTTAAGAGTAAAGTTGATTTGATAGGATTTATTGGCATTAATTTTAATCCTGCAGTTTTGACACCATTCTTCAAGGTTTATGATGTGTGATTGAAGGGCTTAAGGTGCAATTGTTGGGTAATTATTAACGGATAGGACACATGTATCATCGGCATATGTTGTAATGGCAGTGTTAGGA